GTGCACCCACTCAAGTTTATCATATTTATCTTTAAGCTCTTTCTTAGAAGATTTGAGCTCCTTGAGTTTGGATGACATAGCATCATTTGCTTCTCTAAGCTCAACATTAGCCTTTTCTATTTCATCACATTTTGCTAAATTATTCTTAGCATCTAGTTTTTCATTTTTAGCTCTACTCTTTCTAATGATCTTAGTGTATTGTCTTAGTATTTTAACAAGATCATCATATGAAGGTGAATCATCATCATCATCGCTATCGCTATCATTATCACTAGCTTGCTCATCATCACTACTATCATCATTCTTAGTTACCTTGCGTTCACCCTTGGCCATAAGGCATAGGTGTGTAGAGGATGATGGCGGTGGTGGCAGTGAAGATGAGAGATCAATAGCTATGGCGGCCACCTTCTCATTGTCACTATCGTCATCGGATGATCCACTAGATGAATCAATGTCCGTAAGCCAATCACCAACAATATAGGCCTTTCCACTCTTCTTTTTCTTGTGGAAGTCTCTCTTCTTATCATCTCTCTTCTTATATGGCTTGTTCTTCTTCTTTTCATCTCCTTCTTCATTGCTTGAGTCATCTTTCTTGCCCTTGAACTTGTCTTTCTTGGGCTTGGTGCATTGGTGTGCTAGATGACCAAGTTCACCACAATTGAAGCAATCCATTTTGGAAATTGGCTTTCTCCTAGAGCTTGTGAAGAACTTCTTCTTCTTGCCATCGAACTTGATGCCACTCTTGTTTAGCTTCTTTAGCATCTTGGCGGCTTTCTTCACCATGAGAGCAAGATCTTCATCTTCATATTCTTCATCACTTGAACTCTCATACTCAAGTCTTGCTTTGCCCTTATCTTGACTAGCTTTGAATGCTAAATCTTTTTCTTTCTTCTTAGTAGAGGATGAGCCATCTTGAGGTGTGATGTGCATGTACATCTCATGAGCATTGATCTTTCCCAAGATTTGTGTCGGTGTAGCGGTGGAAAGATCACCTTGATGTAGCACAGTCATAATATGCCCATATTTGTCAATGGGAAGGACACTCAAGATCTTTCTCACAACATCGGACGGTGACATTTGAGTAAGTCCAAGCCCATTGACTTCCTCTACAATAACATTCAAATATGAATACATTTCATTAGCACATTCTTTAGGAAGCATTTCAAAAGAGTTGAGCTTTTTCATAACAAGATGATAGCGTTCCTCACGCTCACTCTTTGTTCCCTCATAGAGCGCACAAACGTCCGACCATAGTGCATGGGCATCTTTGTGGTTCCTTACGCGGTTGAACACATCTTTGCAAAGGCCTCTAAAGATGGTGTTGCGAGCCTTTGCATTCCATTTTTCATAGTTCACTTCATCGCCTTGAAGTTGTGCGGGATTCCTAGGTTTTGGGAACCCATGTGAGGCGGCTCTAAGTATTCCAACGTCTAGAGCTTCTAGGTACGCCTCCATGCGAATTTTCCAATATGGAAAATCATCCCCCTCGAAGATAGAGGGAGGACCATCCCCGTGAGACATCTTGCTCTAAGCGATTAAGCTTAAAAACGTGAGCACGAGGCTCTGATACAAATTGAAAGGATCAAGATGCCCAAGAGGGGGGTCAATTAGGCTAATTCTAAATTTCTTCGCAATAAACAAGTCCTATGGTTAGCCCAATTAACCCCTTATGCCTAGAGAAGTGTTTTTATTGATCTAACGCACAAAAGTTTAGCAACCTAGTTCCAATCCTACTCTAGCATGGCAATTCTAAGAATGTAAATGACAAGAATTGAAATGCTCAAAGTAAATGCTCAAAGTAAAGAGAGGAGAGGAAACGCGGCGATATTTTGCTGAGGTATCGGAGAGTCGCCACTCCCCACTAGTCCTCGTTGGAGCACCCGCACAAGGGTGTAGCTCCCCCTTGATCCGCGTAAGGATCAAGTGCTCTCTACGGGTTGATTCTTTGACACTCTGTCGCGGTGAATCATCCACAACCGCTCACAACTTGAGTTGGGTCATCCACAAGCTCTTTAGATGATCACCAAGCTCCCAATCACCACCAAGCCGTCTAGGTGATGACGATCACCAAGAGTAACAAGCACGAACTCTCACTTGACCACAACAAGCCTAGGGAGAAGGGTGGATGCACACTTTGCTACTCTTGATCTTCACTAATGAGGGCTCTCTTTGGATTCTCAAATCTCAATCACCTCACTAGGACCTTGCTCTTCTTGGCACTCTCTAAGGTGTGTTTCAGCTGTTGAAATGAGCAAAAGTCACTCCACACACGAGTGGAGCTTCTATTTATAAGATAGACTGAAAAACGAACCGTTATGTGCCTCTACGGGGTGACCGGATGCTCCAGTCATGTTGACCGGACGCTCTGGTCAGTTCAACCCACACACCAGTGTTTACGTGTTGACCGGACGCTGGCAGGGTCCGGTCACCACTGACCGGACGCGTCCGGTCCCATTTTTCCCTCACTGGATGCTTACTGTACTCGATCGGACGCTGGACCCTCAGGGTCCGGTCAGCACTGACCGAACGCGTTCGGTCGCAGATTTACTCTTTTGGAACCTTACTGGAGTCGACCGAACGCTGCCTCTCAGTGTCCGGTCACTTGACCACTCAGCGTCCGGTCGCACCAGACGTAATCTCCTTGGTCAAATGAACTGACCGGACCCTGTGGCCAGCGTCCGGTCGCACCGGAGCCAGCGTCCGGTCAGTATTTGACCCTCCATTCACTTCCAACTCTCGATCATATGTGAATGAAGTTTGCTCCATAGGATCATAGGGCTGTTGTGGAGCTACCTAGTGCTAGTTTCAACAAGTGTGCACCACACCTAACTCACTAGACTCATCTAGGTCAAACTACCCGTCCATACCCCCCTTAATAGTACGGCCAAAGGAAAAACAAAGTTCTAAACTACTCTAAGTGTCTCTCCAACTCCAATAGACACTTAGAACTAGTCATCCTTAACCTTGTCGTCCATCCTTTAAAAACCGAAACGATTTCCATCGTAGGGGCATGACAACCATGATTGCCCAATCGATCTCCATTACCGTGACCTAACTTAATTGCCTCTACAAAATACACGTTAGTCACAGTAATCTAACATTATCATTAATCACCGAAACCCAATTAGGGGCCTAGATGCTTTCAGTATGGTCCTCGGTATTGCGGTTGACTTGAGTGTCCTGCCTCATTTGCACGCGTCATTATGAAGGAGTTGTGTGCAGACGTCGGGCGAGGTGGAGCCAGCCCCTGGACGTCGGACGAGGCGAAGCCAGCCCCCAGGGGTCAGGCGAGGCGGAGCCAGCCCCAAGACGTCGAGCGAGGTGGAGTCTGCCCTCAGACATCGGGGGAGGTGGAGCCGGCCCTCGGACGTCGGGCGAGGCGGAGCCGGCCCTCGGGGGTCGGGCGAGGCGGAGTCTACCCTCAGACGTCGGGCAAGGCGGAGCCAGTCCTCGGGGGTCGGGCGAGACAGAGTCTGCCCTCAAACGTCGGGCGAGGCGGAGCCAACCCTCGAGGGTCGGACGAGGCAGGGCCCACGGTCTCGGTGACCAAACAAGAAGTGACCCGGCAAATAGTGTAGTCGCGCTCTTGACCGCGCGGATGAATCAAAGTTGACGGTCATTAGCTCCTCCTCTTTGGGTACCCTAATATTAGTCCACGAGAGATATGAAATTACAAGGAAACAAAAGTGTGATATCTCTTAGAAAGGGTTGGAAGTGTTGTGACGAGGACCGATCAGTTAGGGAGATCCTCACAAAGGCACACTGGCAAGAAGGTTTAAGTATGCATGGAAGTCAAAAATGGATGGAACACTTGCAAAGAAAGCAACAAACTTAGAGTTAAACTAATGGTTTATAGAAGAAGATGACAAGCTTATAGAATCCATGATAAAACAAAGAGAGGCACAGATTAAGTGATAAATGCTTTTTCTAGAAAGGGTGTAGGAACACTTTGGAAGAGGAGACATGTGTTAGGTCCCACATGTAAGGTAATGGTCTTCCGGGTTTGAAAGGGGCACTGCTCATGATAAAGAAGGTAATGGTCCAAAATGAAAAAAAAAGATCAACTCGCCTGTCATTTCTCAAGGAATCACTTCGCACTAGTAATTTTCTGCTATTAACATGTAAGAACACTTTACACATATGGTTTCATCTGGCTAAGCGAGGAGTTGATAACTCATCACGAACTTGTCGGCTAGGTTCAGATTTTGGATCAGATATTTCCGCAAAAAAGTAGCGATGCAAATCAAACAGTGTGGAATAATAATAAAATAATTTATTTGAGCAAAGAATAATAAATTAATTAAAAAATAAAATAGAAAGGCAGATAGGCCAGGCCGGAGTTGTCTACGGCCACGGCCCAGGGGGCATGGTCGGCCCAACAGAGCGCACATGCACACCGTCACCACCCAGTGGAACCCTCTGGCCTCCTCCCTCTTCGCCCGCACCTGCACAGCTGCGCTTCACGCGCCGCCGAAGCGCGCCCCCACCTCACCCTCTGCCCACCTCGCTCCCCTCCCGTAGCCGCCGGCGCGGCTCATCGGTCCATCCCCCTGCTGCCTCCTGCAACGGCGCCGGGCGCCGGAGATCCATCCCGACTCGCTGGTAAGCTCTTCCCGTCTCGCTTGGGTCGCTCGAGACCAAATCCATGCCTAAACTCAACCCCCCCCCCTTTTTTTTTGCTTCTCTGTACAGTTTCCAATCCATCCGGATAGCCCCGGCTGGATTTGTTCGCTACTCTTGCATAGCACCAATCCGACTCATCTCTGTTTCGATTCCATTCGTTAGGGCTCGGTTCGAGATCGAGCGCACTGTAGCCCTCGTACCCTAATGTTGTGGGAGTGCTACTGATAGCAGTCACTTTTTCATTAGCTCCTTCCTGGTGACGTAAATCCGCCAGTAGACGAAGCGGTGGTTTGGGATTCTCATGTGTGCTTGAGGGATGTTGCTAAATATTTCTCGTCTGTCACACCTACAGGTGACCCCAAGTGGGTGCGGCAACCATGCCCAAGGTTAAGAATCCCCATGTTTTCATGGACATATCAATTGGTGGAAGCAGCGCCGAGAGGATTACATTCGAGGTCGTAAAGCCTGCAGCAGCATTTTTTTTTGGCATAACTGCTCACTGTTTTCAGCTGCGGAGGACATGGTGATGTACACCATATTAACTTACGGTGATTGTTTTGCAGCTATTCGCAAATGTAGTTCCAAAGACTGCGGAGAACTTCAGAGCACTCTGTACCGGTAATTCTGGTTCCATTCTGTGAAACACCAGTGTGCGCGCGCCTGTGTCGAGTTGTTCCTATAGCATATGTTTGAGTTCTATGTCTTAGCCTCTGCCCAACATGTAGGTGAAAGAGGCCTTGGAGCATCTACAAAGAAACCACTCTATTATAAGGGAACAAATATCCATCGCATAGTTAAAGGGTTTGTTGCTCAGGTATTTAAAGATTGCTACCGATCTGGCTGCTGCGTATTTCTTAGCTAGAGATAGTACATTGAAATGTTTTGTGGGATTGAAATACTGAGCTATATGGAATATGCATGCAATTGACCTTCTTCTATTCATGCAGCTTTGCACTTTGACGTCTTTTTCCTTCAAACTAAACTTGTCAAATTTCCTTCCTGCAGGGTGGTGATTTTTCAAGAGGAGATGGTATTGCTTCATTAGCCCAGGCTTCTTCTTTCAACTGACTTCTTGCTGTAGTGTACTTTATAAGCTCAACGTTGTATGCTATTTCCAGGACGTGGTGGAGAGAGCATTTATGGTGGAAAATTTCCAGGTTACTAGCTACATTGAAATTGTGTCAGTCACAATTTGTTTGTTAGCTATCAGTGACTGTCCTGTTAAGCTTTTACTGAAGTTTTCTTTCATTCCATCATGTGTTCTACAGATGAAAACTTCAGACTACTGCACGATCAGCCTGGTTTCCTGTCCATGGCAAATTCTGGACCAGACAGCAACGGGTCACAGTTTTTTATTACATTCAAGGCTCTACCTCATCTTGATGGGTATTGCTTCTTGTTCTTCAGTCACCTGGCTTCATTAGATTCTCAGTTCTCTAACCACAACAAAAAACTAATATTCTGTCAGAAAATTTATTTTAATGACATCAAGTAATGATTAGGGGCTCATGTTGGGTTTCAACTCTAGCCTACCCCAACTTGCTTGGGACTAAAAGGCTTTGTTGTTGTTGTTGTTGAAGTAATGATTAAAAGTAAGTGATGATGGCAACCAACCTAGATCTTGTATTGTATTTACCTTTTCTTTTCAAATAATTCGGAGAGCTGAGTATCATTGCATAAAGTAGAAAGTTTTAGAAATAGACGTTTACAACATGCCACACCCCTAGATAGTATACTGTACTTTTGTTGACAGTATTCGATGTTATTAGTTCCTAACTACCTGCGATGTCTTGTCTTACATTTCCTGCCTATTCTCCATGGTCTAGCAACCTTAAATGAATTCAAATTGTAATATTTGTAGCAAACATGTGGTCTTTGGGAAGGTGGTCAGTGGAATAGCTTTGCTTAAAACACTTGAAGCAGTTGGTGGTGAAGGCGGAAATCCTTCTCGTCCCGTCAAAATTGTAGACTGTGGTGAAGTTTCCAACACAAATTCTCAAGATCTGCTAAAGGGAGAGAAAGGTATAAATAAACGAATACAATGTACAACTGCAAATATTTTATGTTCTTCTTGCTTATCTTCCTCATTACCACTTTGTGCAGAAAAAAAACTAAGAACGGTAGATGGTAACTCCAATGCTGAAGGGAGAGCCAAATTAAAAAAAGCATCCGGTGATTATAAGCAAAGAAAGAAGAGAAAACACTATTCGTCTGATTCATATAGCTCAGACACTTCAGACTCATTGTCCTATTCTTCAGATAGTGGCTCTGATTCAGAATCACACTCATCAATGGATACTAGCTCGTCTAGTGATCATAGGCGTAAGAGAAGAAAAGGATCTAAGAAGGATAAGCGCAAGCCCACAAAGAGGAAGGGTAAACATACAAGGAGTAAGAGAAAGAGTAGAGGATCCAAAAGGCGATCTAGACGGTACAATGTTAATAACCTGCATAATGTTTCTACTTTGTTAGCATGGGATGACTTCTTACTGAAATTCCTCCTTTTTGGTGTGGTTTATCTTTAGGAGCTATGGGAGTTCAAGTGATGATTCAGTAAGCTCAAAGACAGATAACAGCAGTTCTGACAGTGAAAATGGCAGCCATCGTACCAAGCGTTCCTTGCCGAAAGGTAGTAATCTAATTCCATTAGATTTAATGTGTGTGTTATATATTTGCTATCAACATATCCTAATGGACTTCAGTTTGAGTGCATATATTTCTTGCCTGCTAAAACCAGTTCTCCAATGCTGGACAATTTCTGCTTGTGAGTTTGCCATGTCTAGCTAAAAAAGGAATGCTGTGTTGGATTTTTTTTTTCTGCTGCTATTTGGTTTATTACATTGGTAATATCTTTCTAGCGTCAATTTAAAAAATAAATAAAAGTTCTGACTGCCCTAGTGCCTTATTCATGTTATTATTAATCTTCACTGTTTATTGATGGTGATGTGTTTTTCACTAAACAAACTTTATATTTTTCTTTTGATATCAGTCATAACTGAAATGGAGCACGTTCACATGAATGACAAATTATCTTTTTTTTTTCTATCTGAAAGCAACTGTTGATAACTTACTATGGCATATACTACAATAGCTACTAATAGCTTGAAGTTTTATATATTGTATTTATTTATAGTTTTTACATTATGTATAATTTATAAGTTTTAAGTATTCTGAGATCACTTTGCCTCACTTTTTTGTCTTCAATTTTGAAGTATTAATCATTTCCCCCCTGCAGATAAAGAGAGTACCAAAATGACAAATTCAGAACAAGGAAGATCTTTTCAAGATGTAGACAAAGGCAAAGAAACAGTTACTACCGTCAACCGATCACAATCACATGATGGAAGTAAACCCTCAAACAAAGATGACAACGGGGCTGATGACAGATATGGGAATTGCAATTCAGAAGATAGGTATGCCTATTTCATGTTTTGATTTGTCAACCACATGTTCCTTTTGGATTCCTATTACTACCATTGACAGAGCAAAGTTTGTACTGTTCAACTTTGAGATGACTAGTTATTTTTGAGCGGCTAATGCACACCCTTTTTTTTTCTAAACACAGGAATGATCCAGGTGCAAGTTCCAGGATCAATCCCATCCAGGTTGATGTAAATTTAGCAAAACCAGTAAATGTAGATGGCAACATTGATGGTGATGATGCAGAGGCTGGCATGTCTAGAACTAGAACTAGTACAGAAAGGCACCTGCCAAGCAATGAACCTGTGTCCACCAATGGTAAAGATTTAGCTGTGGGTTCTGCAGACAATGGGCAGCCTCAACGAATCAGGAAAGGACGTGGTTTTACTCAGAAGTATGGGTATGCACGCCGATACAGGACGCCATCTCCTGAGCGCCCCCAGTTCGGGACCCCCGCCACGATGGAGGAGAGATGATAGATGGAACAATTTCAATAGGTAAATTTAAAATTAGACTATTTATCAAACTTTGACAGATTTGGCATTTATACTGATTTCTCATCATGTTCAGGTATGGAAGAAATGGTCCTTACAGCAGACGCTCACCAGCAAGGAGATACCGTGGCTCGCCAAGAGCCAATAGCCCATCCAGGTTGGTATTTCTTATGCGTTGAAGTGAAGATTCTTGCACTGCTTTACTAATCTCATTAAACTTGAGAGAAACAATCTGTTTCTTCCCAACTATTATTGTATCCTTGTTTATGCATTGTTTAATGCCATAGGGTATAATAGTATGAGTTTGTTTCTAGGAACCAATCTGCTCATTGTAAATAGTCAGTTGGAAGCCATTGCTAATTGGCTGTAATGCTTAAATTATTCAAACTATTATTACTCCTCATGGATAAAAAGAATAGCACCAACAAGTAAAGAACATGATATTAAATGATTTATCATATCCAATCTAGATAAACCTGTCATTAGTGTAGCTTTAACTGTCTCTCTTTCTCAACTTCTCTCTCTCTCTCTCTCCCCTTATGATGGAGACTGTGAAGGACATTTGTGCCTGGTAACAAAATAGTATGTTGTGTTCATCCCTTTCATAGTTTACCTTGTTTGATTAAATCCCCAAGTTTGTTGGTATTGTGGATACTGAACACTTGATAAAAAAAAAAAACTCGACCGGGGGGGTTAAGACTGCCCCCGCAGCATTACAAATAAGAAGAAGGACCTTCTCACCTGGCCGAGAAAACCCCCGAACCCCCGCCCCCACCCTTACACGGTGGCTTTCCGTCGCCTAAGTGAGTATTGGGCGGTGCCCCTGCTGCTTTGGTTATGGGGACGGACGAGGGGATTTTTTTAACTTGAGGAGTGCCGCCGGGTCACCTAACCGTTTGAGCTAGGCGCCCTTTGGCTACTGAACACTTGATTGTATGATTAATTTTGATCTTCAGGTATTATGTTGATTATTACATGTGCAAGCACCAGATAACCATGCACTGCTTATAGATCAAGCACCTTTTCCATTGCCATGATAAAAATAAAACTGTTCTCCTTTCAATTTGCTCTCTACCTTTCCTACCACCATTTTGTGCAAAGCCATGCTACTTTAGAAGTGGCCCAAAATTGTTAACTAACGTCCATGACTTTAGGTACCCAAGAAGAGGCCGAAGCAGGAGTAGGTCACGCAGCCCAGTGAGACGCCATGACCGTGGAGGGTATCACCGCCCCAGCCCAAGACATAGCCGCAGCCCTGCAGAACCGAGACACAATGTGAATGATAGGCCTCGATCAGGTCATGGTGGAGGTGATCCTGACCACCGTGGCAACAGCCCCCCTGCCAACAGGTCCAGGTCGAAGAGCCAGGACCCCTTGAGATCCAGATCTCCTGATGCTGCCCCAGCCAAGAGGGAGAGCTCGAAATACAACCGCAGGCGCAGCAGCAGCTCAAGGTCCAGCAGCCCTGATGGAAAGAAAGGCCTGGTTTCGTACTGAGATGTAACAGACGCAACAATTTACAGGCTCCAAGAACTATGTTTCTTGCTAGTTTAGCATTATGTACGCTTCTGTAATGGCTTCTAAACTTGAACTGCTTTCGATGTAGCTGTACACTTGGATGAACTGTTAGACTTGAAATGTTTCTTATGTCAGATATTTAGATCTACTTCTGAGTCAGTATCGCTAAGAGTTCAAGTTATTTAGTGCTGTGTTTCTTATTTAGTACTATGCTTATTTTTCTTATTCCAGCCTTTGCAAATCATATACTTCTGTGCCTTATATAGGCGAAGTTGACGCCTCCACTGCTGCTGCCTCTGCAGCAGCCGGTAGGAGACGCCGAGCAGTGGTTTTGGTGCCATGTACCATTCTCACGGCCGGTCACACATGCAGCTTGGCAACTAGTACCAATCACCAATCTCTCTCCCAATTGCAGGCCCTGCCCCTGGTGATGTAGCCAGAGGGCAGGCAGCAACGGACAATTACCGTTCTTGAATAAATTTTGGTCCATCCAATCCACTCTCCTCATTCATGCAGGTATGTAGCTACTCTTGGCAGCAATTCGAATGTACACTTGTGTGTGTCAGCTTACTGTGTTCTGTGTTCAACTCTCTTTCAGCTATACTATATCAACCACATTACAGCACATCGACACGCTCTGGGGCCAATGTTCTGACGCCTTGCAAACTGTCACAGATAACCAGCTGTTTCAGTTTAATTAGTTCACAGTAGTGATGCCATTATAGTGAGTTAACGATTGAACTTTGTTCCTCTGTGTACTGGTTAATGCATTTTAGGCTGTGCCAGGTAGGATCACTAGTTCATTACCCGGTCAAATTTGGTGTGTTTCAAACTTTGGACAAATAGAACATTTTGCTTCTGAGATCTGCAAATAAAATGAAGCGTTCTTAGAAGAATAAAGCCCATCTTTGGTCCATTATCTCTCTGTCAAGAAAAACAAAAATTGTTTTATGCAGGTAATGTTCTGAGCTACCTACTGAATCTGCTTCTGGCTTGTTGCAAAACGAAGAGGGACGTAAGGTGTTACTGTGTTAGGTACGTACGTTGGAAACAACAACGGATGTGAAAGTCCAGATTTTGAATCACCTTTAATGACTGTGGCGAATATTGTCTGTTTTATCAACTTTGTAAGAAGGCACTCAGCCTGGTGCTGTTGTATGATATACTCCATCCATTCTCACTTTCCGAGAAGTCAAACACTTTTAATTTTGAACAAATATAAAAATATATATTAATATTTATAATACATAATTAGTATCATTAGGTAGATCAGTGAATATACTTTTCATAATAAACTTATTTGGAGATATAAATGTTGCACGCATTTTCTACAAAACTAATCAAAGTTAAGAAAGTTTGACCTGCACGCATCTCATAACGACCTTTATTTTGGGACGGAGGGAGTAAGTTTACAAAGTTATCTTAAATTGTCAAAGTATATCAGTTTTAAGATGCTCATTCAGCTCTCTTTTTTTAAACAATGGCAGGAGCTCTGCCTTTCAATTAAGACGAATGAAGTTTATATACGAGCAAAGATAACCAAGCGTGGTGCCAAACACCGCGAAAGGTTAGCCCACCCACGCAACGCGGTAGAGTACACACTACCATGAGTCATCGTTGCCGAGCGTGGTTGCAAAGCAGCCAGCAGCTCCGACTTCCCATGGCAAAACACCGACGACCCATCCTAAGATGTCGATCAACGGGCCCAAGCAGGAGGGCGCAGCACAGTCATCGTTGCGAGCTCAATGGCTCCACGAAGAGCAGCTCCGACTTTTCGCGCTTGATCCCACGCCCCCATGGCGATTGCCGAGCCTCTAAAAAGTGAAACCCGGCCCGCCGGAGAAGGAGGGTTCGACCAGCGTCATCGTTGCCGAGCTACATCCCCGATGCAAGCAGCTCCGACTTCCGATGCGTAACTCGCCGCCTCGCGTCAAGCTGGGCGCCAAGAGGCAGAGGACATCCGCCGAAGGAGACATCACGGTCGAGACGAATTTCCAGTGGACGCCTTTCAGAAGGGTGCACGCAGATAGCGCCGCCGTCGCTTGTCCGTGGAAGACATGGCTGGGGGCACAAGAACACGACGCTTCAACAAGGGAAAACGGCGCCCCACAGCGCCGCCGCCGCCAAGGCTTTTGCCCGAGGTGCCCCTAGCACAAACGTCGAGCCAAGATGCCGTACCGTAGCCTGTCGCCACCGTCGTCGTCACCGCCATCCCGCAGAAGCTCCTCCAGAGGGGCTTCGACGCGCCGGCTGCTCACAGCAGCCACACAGCTGCGTCGGCCGCCACCCCCTCCGACCGGGCAACATGCAGAGGTGGACTTACCTCGCCACGCGTCACGCCGCCGACGCCGAAGGTTGCCGACCTCCGCCACCACCGACAGCGATGATGCCCCACCTCGGCGCGCCGCCGCCACGGGGCACCGGATTCGCCATCAGGCGCTGCACCCAGTGACCCATTTGGTGCCGCCACCTCCATGCCAAGGCCGAGGAGGAAAGGGGAAGCGGAGGAGAAAGAAAAGGCCTCGCCATCGCCCGGCGCGCCGCTGCTGGCATCGCTGGCCGCGCAGCAGCAGAAAGCGGCCCCGCCGAGCCCCACGCGGCTCGCGTGAGGGCACGCCCCGCTACTACGCACGCCGCCACCAAGCGCGAGGAAGAGGAAGAGACTCGGCCCTGGGCGACGCAGCCGCCACCACGGGCGCCGAACCTGCGGATCCGCGACGTCTTGGACAGGAGCCGCTGCCACCGCCCGCCCAGGCGCGGCCCGCCGGAGATCCGCGCGAATCCGGCCGTCGGACCGCCGGATCCGGACGCCGAAGCGAGGAGGCTGCCCCAGACAGGCGCTGGAGACGCCGGCGCCACCACCTGCCCCAGTGACCACGCCGAGCCCCAGGACACGAGCACGTCCCCGACAGTCGCAACTTCCACCGCGAAGAAGAGCCTCGCACGGCCATGCCGGCGGCCTGCTCCGGCGACGGCGCGGCTGGAGAGAGGGAGGGAAGGAAGAGAGGCGGCTAGGGTTTGGGTCGCCTCCCGTGTCGCCTGCGTGGGGGCAATGTGGGCCGAAATATGCTCATTCAGCTCTTGAACTGATATACTCATTCAGATGGCTTCATAGACAGGATGTGTGAAAAAATTACATAAATACTCGTCCTAGTTGATACCGAATCAAACGAATCCATTAGTAAGTTGAACACTGCACGTTGACTCGATAGCAGTTAGAAAATTGTGAAAATGAATCTCTAATTTCATGACACCTGTTGATGCACATAAGACTAAGGGCTTGATTGGTTGGCTTCCAAAATATGTAAGTCAAAGATTTGGCAAGTCATAATTTTGACTATTATTTGGTTTGCTAGTAAAACTTGTCAACTTCTTACATTTGCCTTATCAAATCTATAGCAATTTTTTTTTATCTAACTTTGGCTTGCCAAATTTTGATCGCAAATCAAGCAAGCCCTAAAAAAGTGGAACAATGTGCATATTCTTGGACACGTTTGTGCAGTTTGGGGAGTCTTAAAGCACATTTGCTAATTATAATTTCAAGTATGAAAACTTCTCTAACCTCTCTCTCTCTCTCTGTTTTCTCAGCTTATGTCTCTCGGTCGGTGCTCCTTTTTTTTAACTCAGTACTCTTGTGCTGAAATGCGATGTAATTCCTGATTTTTTTTGAGTGGCCTCGGCGCAGTGTGATGTAACTGTTGCAAGATGGCCTGGCCCATCTGCGGGGCCGGCAGTGTTAGCGCACTGGAGTTTGCTTCTTTGATTTTCTTGGGCTTAGCCTAGCGCACCGGATCAACTTTTTTGTTTGTTTGTTTTATCGTGAAATGAGGGAAAGTCCTCTGTCGCCGATGTTGTTTTTGGCAGTAAAGAAAAAGGCTTTGTGATCGATCATCAGTAGCTGGTGAAGTCTAGTATGTAATGAAGGGCCGGATTGGTTCGCTTTTCAAATTTGCCATGCCAATGATTTGGCAAGCCATAATTTTGGCTAGGATTTGGTTTACTACCAAAACTTGCCAAACTCTCATATTTGTCTTGCAAAATTTATGACAATGTTTTTGTCCAACTTTTGGCTTGCAAATCTTTGATATGGCAAATTTTGGATGTCAACCAAGCATGCCTATAATTACCGTTTGTCTCGGCGTTGCACCCTCCGCTCGCTTGCGACACCAGAAAAACTACCATCACCGCCTTTCCCAGGAACGCCTTGGTCCCCCACCTCTCTCCCATTCGGCGGGCTCACAGGTAGCAAGAGGAGTGGGGACCCGATCTCTCCATAGTTTTTAGTTGTTTTTGTTGTTATTTGTTCTTCTAGAGTTTAGTTTCTGGTATCATTGATGAGGTGGCGGCGACAATGACACAATGGAATGGGATCTCTCCTGCCTCTCTCTATCTTGTCGATGCGTTTGATCCGGCGTTGATAAAGGACCAGTGAGAGCTTGGTCTGTCAGATATGTTGGTTCCCTTCAGTTCTTGGTGGCAGCAGTCAGTTGGCTCTCTTCATGTCGATTTCGACCTCTTCTTTCGGTTTGTTCTTTTGCCAGGTCTATCATCTCTAATACTCTGTTCTTTCTTGATCTCATTGTCAGTGACGAGTGGATTCTGCGGAAGCCTTCTATGGCGAGGGTGTTCCTTTGCTGCCTCTTCAGAGCGATCTTCGACAGCCAATGGACAACAAAAGGATGAAGATGACTGGTTTGATTTTCAATGTATTTTTTTAGAGGTCATTTTGTGTCAAGTTGTCCTTTTGTACGAGCTACTGCCGCTCTTTTGAGTGGTATATGTAATGTAATTTCTTTTTTTTTAGACTGTATGTAATGTAATTTCGGTGGCGCGCCATCTCCGGGAGGTTAGCATTCGCGAGTGGACTGAGTGGGCCGACTGGCCGAGACGCACGCGCGACACTAGTGGGCCTGAACTTTCGTCCGCGGTTACGGTGGGAAATGGGCCAGACTGGCAGTTACGGTAGAACGTGGCACCGTACACTACTTCAAACGGAACGGACCAAGGCAAGGCAGAGGGCCCCCAAGGCAGACAGGCATGCCATCCCGCTACACAACTCGCGAGTCGGGAGACTGCGCTTGGAGCGGGAAACGGAGGCGGCGGCGGAGATGGCGGGCTCTCAGGGCGCGGGCGGCGGCCACGGGGAGAGGTACGTGCGGCGGCTTCCTGCTCTACCGTGGTCTCGTGAAGCCGCGGCCCAATGCTTGACCCTGAGTGATTGGAAATGCGTTTCGTGGCAGGGTCGAGCGTCGCAGCCGTGGCCGAGGCGTGGCCTTGCGCCGCCCGCCGGGCGTTCGACTCCGGGGGAGCGGAAGCGCGGGCACGGAGGCGGCGCGGGACGGAGGCCCCGCGGGCGGACCAGCCGTGGTCGGCGGCGGGGCGAGGAGGTCAGAACCCTGTGCTCTTCCTACCCATTTGTGATTAGGGATTGGGGTCTGGTCGACGAATTTGGGACATACGAATACGACGGCTGGTTGTTGATCCAATTTGGTAGATATATCCCCGTGTTGTTGACTTGCTATTGGCTCGTTAGGGTTTATTTTCAGGGATTTTGCAATTTTGCTCAACTGAATGTCGCCTTGCATTTTGTCTCTGGTAGGTTTCTCCGAGGTTCTGTTCCACCTGAAAGGGCTCCAAAACGTGGCGGTGTTAGTGCTTATGAGCAATCGTTGAAAGATTATGTCGACAGGATGTCCATCGTTGTTATTAGTCCATCAGTTGGCATGTCTTTTGACTCCCGTGCTGAGGCATATGAGTTTTACAACTTGCATTCCTGGGAGCTGGGTTTTGGAATACGGTGCAATATGACTGTGGGTAAAAGTGTTGTGAGTCAAGACATAGTCTGCAGCTGCGAGGTGAGGCGATGTTCTGCCTTTTTGTGTTTGTAACTCTGTGCAATTCAGTATTTCAATTCCAGGATATGCAATGTGGCTTAACTGTGAAAATTGGCCATGTGTTTTAGGGCAAACCAGAGCTGTCCAACACTGCCTCTGCACAAACTGATTGCAAGGCTATGATCCGGCTACACAGGTCCGATGGCAATTGTTGGTACGTTCAGGAATTTCGAGGTGATCACAATCACCCCCTCTCTGGGATATGCAGTGAAGATTTCTGTTGGCCTTCTCACAACCATCTCAAGCCCTACACTAAGAATCTAGTCCGCCGTCTTAGGGATGATAACGTTGATCTCAGTAAGAAGTGCCAAAGCATTTATGAATACTTTTGGGGCATGGAGAATTATAAGTTCGTGAAGGGGGATTTGAAGTCATTGTGTAAGAATATATCATCGGATCTATCAGACATTGACTCCGACAAGACAATCGAGTTGTTTGATGACTTTGGTTCGTTGAGGAGGGATGACCCAAGCTTCATGTTCCGTATTGAGTTGGATGACATTGAGGACCAGTTTAATACAGTGTTATGGACAAATGGACGCAGCAGAATGCAATATGCACATTTCGGTGATACTATAACATTTGATACAACGTATAGGACTAACCTGTATGGCTTACCTTTTGGCTTGTTTGTTGGTGTTAATAACCACCATCAAAGTATCATACTAGGAGGAGCGCTGATGCGACGCAAGACAGTGGAAAGTTTCAAATGGCTGTTCCGTGAGTTTGTTATATTAATGGGTGGTAAAGCTCCAAGTACTATTCTCACAGGTACATGTTTTATTTCCAAACTTGATTATGCCCTCAGTTCATAGTTTACTGCTATCACAATTTTTCAACCGATATTAAATCTGTGGATTGTGCTAAATGTAGACCGGTGCCATGAAATGGAGGTGGCAATCCAGGAGGAGTTACCAGAAACGATTCACAGATGGTGCAAGATGCATGTGCTGAACAATGAAAATGAATTCCTTGGGCCAATTTGTTTGAAGAAAAGTGGATTTAAGGATGACTTCCAGAAGATCACTGATAGCATGTTGACTGTGAGAGAGTTTGAGTGTGGTTGGCAACATCTTCTTGATAAGTACAACTTGCATGACAATGCATTTCTTTCACAGATTTATGATTGTAGACATAAATGGGCCAACCCCTACTTGAAAAAAAAGTTCTGTGCCAAGCAGACTAGTACCCAAAGAAATGAGAGTGCACAAAACATGTTTAAGGGTTATGTACCACTGAATAGATCTATCAATATGTTTGTGCGACACTACAACAAGCTCCAATCTGATCTCAACTCAAAGGAAAGCTCTGAGGAGAATAGGAGCAGGAAGGTAATAGGTCCTGAAACACATCTTGCTGTCTGTCATACTTTTATAATTGGTAAGTCACATCCTGATTTGAATTTCTCTGTCCTGCAGAGACCCAGATTTATGAGCACAGGACTTCCAATTTTGGAGCATGCTGCAAAGATCTATACAAGGGCTATGTTTGAAAAGTTTGAAGGAATAATTTCCCAGTCTGGTTCTTATGTGGTGCATGAGAAGGAGAAAGGGAAGGCATATTTGGCAAGGCACATTAGGAGTGACAGGCAGGAGAGCTGGTCTCAAGTGGAATTTGAGGTTATCATTAGAGCTGAAGATGGTGCAGTTGTTTGTGAGTGCGGATTGTGGGAGCACATGGGGATGCCTTGCTGCCATGCTGTCAAGGTAGAGTTTCTGCTGTGTTTCAGACTGTTATGAAATTCTTTCTTAAATGCAATGGTTCCAAGTTTCAGATGTAAGAGAAGTGACATTTATGTTGATGCAGGTGATGATACACTTGGGAATGCAGGAGATACCAGCTGGGAATATTGTAAAACGCTGGACGATGGATGCTAGGGATACTGTGCCTGTTCATCTGATTGAGAATGATAGGGCTGCAGAAAACTCAAAGTCGTTTAGAACGTCGGAGTTGTTCATTGCTGGGATCAAGTTTGTAAAGTCTGGTTCCAGGAGTGATCAGGCTTTTGAAGCAGCGATGGCGGTTTTGGATCAAATAAAGCAGGAACTTTTGGAACTCGGTGAAGATGAGGACGTTTCTGAGTTGACTGAGCAGTCCAGCATTTCTGCGGCAACTACTGATGATGCTACCTCGGCACTCGGCGGCTCAGAAACAGACTGAAACACAGGTGCCTGATCATGCACACAAGATCGTGCAGCATACTCAGGCAAAAGGGCCACAGTAGGGGGCATTTGGGCTAAAGCGCAGTGGATTTTGTATATATCGAAGCAAGGTAGCAACTTAAATGGAGTGTGGACTGGCAGTTCACAAGGCCGCAACTGCTCATCGACAACTTGCAGGGAGTGTTGTTAGTGGGGTGTTTTCAAACTGTGTGTGGTCCAAAGCACGAGTGGGTGTGCTTGGTTGTCAGTGTTACATTCTGCACTGGGAATTGCAGCTTGTGTTCTTGGCTGCTAGTTAGATAATTGATCTTTTGCTCAGTAGGAAGTCGTGGTCTGGTCAGTAGGAAGTTTTGTTTTGCTCAAGTCTTGTAAATTCGGGAAGTCCTGGTCTGGTCAGTAGGAACTTTTGTTTTGCTCAAGTCTTGTACACTGTCAGTGACGCTGAAATGTGACAGTTCCAACCTGCATGTCATGCCATGTTGTCATGCTTTCCGATATGCACATTTCGCCATTTGGTACTGCAGACATGTGGTTTACGTAGGCTGCTGCGGTGCTGCCGTTAGTTCTGTCGGATCTCTATATGGTGTGCTGTTCCTCTTAACAGGCTACTGTATGTTCCAGTTAGTTAGAGTCAGAATCTTGCAATCCTTGTCGGGGATTGAACTGTATCCCAAGAAATTTCTGTAAAGATTATAATGCTCCAACCGGAGCCTACATAACACAATTACACAAATCTTAGGAAGTTAGTGCCATAATCTGGATATTTTACCACCATTTCAACGACCACTCAGCGATCCTGAGGACTGCATATGCATCTTGGCCTTCCTCGTTTACAGAGGCAAGCAAGCCTTTGGGGGCCTGAGCTCTGAACTACAGAAGAGCAACAACAGGTACCTGCACTGGGGAATCACCGAATGCTCTCTTGTCGCCTGTCAGTTGCCGTCGGACACCGTTTGGGTCGTCCGATCATTCTGGAGCCTGACGTCGTCGAACCCTGCTCCGTGGAACCACTTTCTGTATTCTTCCTCCTTGGGGAACAGCATCCACATCAGCGAAGAATTGGGACGATAAAAGGTTGGGTAAGGTTGGGTAAACTGGGCCAATCAAACCAGCAACACAAACACAATACTCTCTGCTGGATAATACGTGACACCATATTAGTATTTGCAAATTGTAAATGAGTATCTATGACATTCAACTTAGGGATAGGGAAACATAATTTATTTATATATCTATTGGTGTTACATTCTACTTTATTTTTTTTGGATATGAATGGATTAAGTTATCCCGAGGACAAATATTAATGCCAGTAAAAATGTGCCAATTCCAGCAGCAGCAGGTCTGACAGAGAATGAAAGATGATTTCCCCCCTTAGTCAAAGAAATGTTGATGCAGGTGATGTAATCTACTTCATGAACACCTTGTTTGTAACCGATGGGCCTCTTTTGGCCTAGATCAATCAATAAAAATGAAATCTCAGGTGGGGATCCTCTCCCCCTATTGACCTTAAAAAAAACTCGAAGTCGTTTAGAACGTCAGAATTGTTCGTTGTTGTGATGGTCTGATGGAGCTTGTAAAGTCTGGTTCCGCGAGTGAAGATGCTTTTGAAGTAGGGTTGTTTTTTTTTTGGAAAAAGTCCATATTACCTTCCTCAAAAAAAGGGCGTACCCAGTGCAGAGAGCTCCCGCTCTGTGCGGGGTCTGGGGAAGGGTGTTAGTGGCAAGCCTTACCCTCGCCTATGCAATGCGAGGAGACCGCGACTCGAACCTGGGACCTTCCGGTCACAGGCGGTAAGACTCTACCGCTTGCACTAGGCCCGCCCTTCATATTACCTTCCTCAAACTTTCGCGAAAATCCATTTTTCCTCCCTGAACTCTAAAACCGGGCAAAACACCTCCCTCAACTTTTAAAACCGTTCATCTTACCTTCTTGACCCTGTTATAAGCAGTTTTGAAGTCGGTTTTGTCTTTTTCCTTTTTATTTATTTCGGCAGAATCTTTGAAAAATCATATTAAATCAATGAAAAATCATAAAATGGAAAATTCAATTTTGTTGGACTCCACATGAGTAGATCTACAGTGAACATATAATATGGTATGCTTTAGTACATTGAATTTAGTATTTGTGGCTTTAGATCTATGTATATATTAGTTATAGATTTATTTATATTTAACAAGCATAAACCTAAATAAAATTTATAACTAAGTTATACATGATCCAATGAGTATGAAATTTTTACTACAGTTTAATCATACAATAATTATCCCACCATAAAAATTTTACCACAATTGGACCATTGAAACTGCAGCTATGAATTATTCTATTTAATTATAGAAAAGCATAGATCTAAAGCTACAACAAAAACTTTGTACTAAAGCATACCATATTATATGTTCACTGTGTAAATATACTCATGTGGAGTCCAACAAAATTGGATTTTCTATTTTATGATTTTTCTGTGATTTACTATGATTTTTCAAAGATTCAGTCGAAATAAATAAAAAAGACAAAACTGCCTTCAAAACCGCTTATAACCGGGCCAGGGAGGTAAGATGAACTGTTTTAAAAGTTGAGGGAGGTGTTTTGTCCGATTTTGAAATTCAGGGAGGAAAAGTGGACTTTCGTGAAAGTTGAGAGAGGTAATGTGGACTTTTTCTCTTCTTTTTTTTCCTTTTGAGGAAAGGTTTTTGAATTAGTGTATGGTTCAATTAGCCCAGGGCGCGGCCCAAATTTCCTAGCAACAGCTCTTCAGCAGCCCATGGAACCCCAACGGCCAGCCCAAGCATAGCCGCCCCCCACGGCCAGCCCTGACAGCCCAACAGAGCCCTAGCCCAACTCCTTGCCGGCGGCAGCCTCCCGCTCGGCGCTCCGCGCTAGCTACTCCGCGTCGGCTCGGCGCTGCTCGGGCCCTCGGCGAGACTAGAGACGGTGACGGCGAGAACGGGACAGCGCATCCGCGCGGCCACGCCCCAGCTGCGACTCGTCGCCGTTGTGGGACCCGCGTCCACGCCCGATGGCCGACGCCCCAGCTGGCCGGTGGCCGCCCCTTGTGCATGCTGCAGCCTGCAGCCCTTCCCGGAGGCTGGAGGGCCGCGGCCGTCCCACCGGCTCTCGGCCGCCCCTTCTGTTCTTCTGCAGCCGGCAGTGGGCAGCCTGCAGCCCGCCCCGGCTGCCCAGCTCCAGCTCCAGCTCCAGACCTCCAGTGCTGAGCGCTCCACGCTCCTTCTGTCCTTCAGGCTTCAGTAGTTCAGTACTTCAGTCCTTCTGCTGTTCTCTTCTGTAGCCAGGTGCCCAGGCTCAGAGTCAGAGCTCAAGGTGAGAACAATGCCGCGTTTCGCTTTTGATTTTTGAATACTCAGTGAATGTCAATGTTAGTTCCTAATAATTGCATTGCAATTTGCAATGTTTCATATCGTAGGACATAGGGGGATACAATGGAAAGACATTTTAGTAAGAAAGATGTGTCGAAGAGTAGTGCTGGAACTAAAGAGAATCGGGTCGCTGATCTAGGACTTGTAAAGCCAACTGATGAGTTCCATCATGATAATAGGGATGATGCTAAAACAGCATATCTACAAATGGGTCCATGCAAACCATTTGGTCATAAGGTTCCACAGGGTAAAAGTCAAACAAGAGGCTTTGTTGAATCATGGCTTGGTCAATTTGATTGGTTACAGTACAATATTGACAAGGATGCAGCTTATTGTTTTTATTGCTATCTATGTAAGCCACAAAAAACCAGTAATGTTGGTAATGCTACATTCACCAAAGTAGGGTTTAAGAATTGGAAGAATACAAATGATGCTTTCAAGGAGCACGCTCAAGCAATTGATTGTTTTCGTAGTAATGCAAGAAAGGGCGCCCTTCATTTCAATAATCAGAGGAAAAGTGTACAGCATGTGTGGACTGTGACAAGTGCGGCAGATGAAGAGGCATATAAAGCTCGTTTAACTACCATGTTAGGTATTTCTAGATTTGTCCTTTTGCAAGTTCTCGTCTTTCGAGAGATGATGAGTCTAAAACATCAAGAAATAAAGGGAACTTTCTAGAGATGCTTGAATGGTACAGAAAGAAGGATTCTAAAGCTGCACTTGTGACTGGTGAAAATGCTCCTGGGAATAATCAAATGAGTTGCCCAATAGTTCAGAAAGATTTAGTTAGAGCTTGTGCAGAGGAGACAAGTGAGGTAATTAAAAGTGAAATAGGAGATCGTAATTTTGCAGTGCTTGTTGATGAGCCTCGTGATGTGTCTATCGAGGAACAAATGGTTGTGGCCGTGAGGTATATATCACCTCTTAATTTGTCTATTTCATTTTTTTCCTTTTCTGTTTTGAATTAACCATATTTTCCCTTTTCTCTTGTAGGTTTGTCAATGATGAAGGCAATCTGATTAAGAGATTCCTTGTGATTCAGTATGTTCCTAACACTACAACACCTTCACTAAAGGTAGCATTGGATGATATGCTTACAAGATATCGTCTATCTATTTCCAGAATTAGGGGACAGGGATATGATGGAGCCTCCAACATAAGAGGACAGTTTCATGGATTGCAAAGATTGGTATTGAATGAAAACCCATATGCTTTTTACATCCATTGTTTTGCTCATCAATTGCAATTGGTGGTAGAATCTGTAGGCAATTGTTGTGGTTCAGCTTTTGATTTCTTCAATCATGTCACTTCGATTGTCAATACTGTTAGTGCTTCTTGTAAGAGAAAAGATCAGCTTCTTCAAGATCATCATGAGAGGCTTGTAGAGCAACTAGATAGTGGTGCTATTTTTGCTGGGAGAGGAAAAAACCAAGAAACTAGTCTTGCTAGGCCTGGTGATACAAGGTGGGGTACACATCACAAAACACTGACACGCCTTTTATTGATGTGGTACTCTGTACTAGAGGTGCTAGAGAATATTAGTGATGATGGAATTGATGAGGAAAATAAAACTATAGCATCTGGATTGATAGTAAAAATGGAGTCTTTTGAATTTGTGTTTATATTACAACTTATGATCAGAGTATTGGACAAGATTGAAGAATTGTCACAATGTTTGCAAAGAGAAAATCAGAACATTGTTCATGCAATAGGATTAATTGGATATGCAATGTAGAATTTGAATGACATGAAGGAAAATGGTTGGGATTCTCTTTTTGAAGAGGTAAAAAGCTTTTGCCTCAAAGTGAACATAGACATTCCTAATATGGAAGATCAAACACCAATTAGAGGTCGTTCGAGGTTTCACAGTGCCAAATTGGTGAGTTACTACCATCATTTTCATCATGGAATTTTCAATGTTGTGATTGATCAGATTGTCTGTGAGTTAAACAATAGATTTCCTGAAAGATCAACTCAACTATTGAGACGTGTTGCTTGTCTTGATCCGGGGGATTCGTTCGCCAACTTTGAGGTAGATAAGTTATTTGAGCTTGCTAAGATTTATGTCGATGACTTATCAGATTATGACTGCTTGAGGCTTTTGGATGAACTTCCTATATTCATTGATGAAGTTAGAAATGATAATGATTTCTCAACTTGTATTGATCTTGGAAACCTTACTGAGAAGATGGTTCAAACTGATAGATATACACATTTTCCTTTGGTGTGTCATCTCATTGAACTTGCATTGACTATCATAAGGACTGAACGGAGAAATAAAGTAAATGATGATTGGTTGAATAGTAGCATGATAAGTATTCAACAGGATTTATTTGCATCAGTTGAAGATGAAAAAATTCTAAAGCGTTTTCAAGACTTAAGTAACCGTATAATAAATTTGCCCTAGGAGGGCCCGAGGAATGAATGGTACGTATTGTATCTGTTCATTTTAATTCATAATGTTATCTTATTTTTTGAAGAACTATAAATTTTTAATGTTTTTATGCAGAATTGAGGATGGCAGCTAAAATGGAGTGGAGTGTGAAGACATGTAAGATCTTTTGGTTATTCGATACTCTTTATTTGGTATTTTTGTATCCATAATGTTTTATGTATTGCTTGAGCACTTTGCATTGATATAGTTATTTAATGTTTTAAATGAAGAAGCGCCTGAGATCGAACGCCATGGCCTGAGCTCTGAACTAGAGACGAGCACCAAGTACCTGCAATGTGGAACCACCGAATTCTCTCTTGATGGCTGTCAGTTGCCGTCGGACACCACTTGGGTAGTCCGATCCTCTGGAGCCTGACGTCGTCAAACCCTGATATGTGGAACCACTCCCTGTATTCTTCTTCCTCCTTGGGGAACAGCATCCACATATTACCAAGAGAAAAATTTATATATCTATCTCTGTTAAATTGTACTCTATTTTTGGATAGGAAAGCATTAGGTTTTCCCGTGGAAAAATACTATTGTCAGTAAAAATGTATCATAATTTCAGAAGCAGGTCTCTGACAGACAATGGGCAGTCATCGCCTATTTGGAGAATGAATGATGATTTCCCCCCTTAGCCAAAAAAATGTCTTGTGCTGCTTGTTTATAACCAAACCGAACAGAGGACATTGCCAGCAACTGCACGAGAAAAGATAGACCAATTTTACTTTCAATCCCTCACAATCAGTTATTTATCAATGGAAATATTATAAACACTATACTGTAGAACCAGAAGACCTTTCTTTCTGTGCTGTATGAACCTAGGCTATGATACTGACTGCACACTTCAGTGCCACATACTTTGCACCCGATCTCACACTGCAACTATTTTCTCAAAGTATTCAAACCAACTTTGGGGGGCCCCAGGAACCCTAACCCAATGGTTTCTAAATGTTGGGGAAGAAGCCATTTCTTGATCTCTGAATGCAAACTCAAATCAAATAGAGCAAGATAAGGATGCAACCATAATTTGACATAACAAAAAAACTAACTAATCGGACACGAGTTAAGAAAACTCCTACAGAAATCTTTGTGAGGTTTCTTGATACATCTGCAAGGAAATATATAGAAGTCACATATCAGTGCACTTGTGAGGTGAGAAACTCCTGGCCTTGATCACAGTAGCTCTCAACGACCCAATTTCAGACCACAGAAACTTGAGACCTAGCAGCAGCCATGTTAACAAGCATCTCTCTGTATCATGTGAGATTTCTTGCGTGCTGCGACAAAATACTTTGGTGGTACCAGTACTTCACGACTCTAATAGTACTAAACTACTAATCCATCAGGCCACATTGATGTATATATGGGGAATTAGCCACTTGTTATCTTGCATTGATTTTGCAGATCCCATCCAAATACCACTTTTTTTTTTTGAATATCCAAATACCACATCTAGGTCATTGGAAACACTACACTCTTTCTTTCTTTATGTAGGTCATTGGAAACACTATCTCTTTCTTTCTTTCTCTCTCTCAAGTCTTAAGGTCATACTCTTTCATTCTCTCTTAAGGTCCATATGGTTTTTAATTTGTATATATTCTTTAGACAATTCTTACTAAAATAAATTTCAACATAATTTGGATTATCCATATTTTCAGTTGTTCATTTTTTTTAACATAAGTTCAAAATTCAATGGTCGCTAGGAACATACTGCTTATCTCCACAGAGGATAATTTTCTAAATTTAGTAAGAGATTAGTACACTAGGCTATATTCACCAATTATTCAAAACATCAGGGTTATAGGGCATGGTTTGAATTTTCATAATCTTAATCACCTAACAAAAAAAAATTCTGTACCCTTACAGGTTATGTTCAGTTTCCTGATTCTACATTCATGGAGAACCCAAAGTCTCTGTTCAACCAATGCGCATATACAAATGTGCCAAGAGGACCAAGACTATAATGACAAGCTATATTGCATGAGTTCTTGTGAAGGAGAACCATGTTTATTTGTAGCTTTGCCACTATTGTAGACATTTATACAAACCCAAGGAGATTTCCTTCTTACATTCAGATGGCATTGCCAACACAAAATCTGTAAATTTGGTTAGTAGGGGAGAGTCTATGTTGCCAGGTTGATTTTATAAGGTTAGAACGATACTGTTACAGGGCCATGGGCCAGTGTTCAAAGATTATTCCTCCAGACAGGCAACCAAACCATCAGCTCTAATCACAATTTTGTTCACGAGCTTGGACAGATCACCCCCGTATTTGTGCATTCAGCTAACCAGATTCAAGTATTCCTTTTTCGTCCCTAAGAAACTTCAAGGCTAGCAGTTTTTGTTTCACTTTGTTGAGCTTGCTCTGCCTCAAGTTTCCTTAAAGCAGAAGAGCTCAATTTCCCCCCCTCCACACCACCAGAAAGCAGATCAACAACCTCAACCTGAAATTTAGGTCATCCACATTTGAATCAGTTGCATAGTACACCAAGTAGTAGAATAAAATCAATTGAATGAAATATAGAAGCAAGCACAAATGAACCTTCAACAGTGGGAGCCCTTTCTCTTCTCTTTTTCTATTTACAGCAAGTCCACCATTTAATGTCTCCTTACTGAATATAAGCAGCATTTCTATGTCAAATGATGTCCAGTAGAAAGAGAAGCTTAAAAATGAACATGAACTGTTTACATATTAGGAGACCACATATTTCAAAGTCCAATATTATGAGATACTTAAGATACCATTAGTATGGTTTTGAAATGGGTAGAGTATTGACTTTCTACATTTTGGTAAGGTCATATACTCATATGCACATGAAGAACAAATGGAATAGTTATGAACAGCTAAATGCTTGAAAAAGGGGATGGCGCTATTGTTGATACCTGACAATAATGGCATCCAACTTTTCATCAGTGATGGATGGGCCATAAGGATCCTCAATAGGCTCCACTTGTACTATCAGTTCTGGCTTTATAGACTGCATATGACAACAGACCAATCACGGATTATTGTCAACACATGAAATCGTTTGGCTGTGGTTTGTCGTAAACGATCGTAAATTTCCAACCGGAACAGTATTTTTCTCTCACACAAACCAGCCAGCAGTACTTCTTCACGAACCAGCAACGAAACGAACCAGCCAACCGAACAGGCTGATTATTCTTTGTAGTTCCTTCCCCCTATTACCCAATGCAGAACCATGCAAGAACATACAAAACTGGAGATATGGGACTGATAACCCCTACACATTCAAAGCCATGTATCTCCAAAATTGAAAACACGGGGCTAATTTCCATTCCAGAAACTCCATCCAAAGTACACCATGCTTAACAACTTTTCTTAGACAGATAAATAGGAACAAATCTCTAGCCACATAACAGTAATAACCTACTTCTATTTCATCAGCAAAACTGACGAATTTCCGTATCAAAACAACTACAACTTGATGCTTACGCACCTTCTCCTCTGCATATATAAAACAGGCCTGGCACCCATCCCCAAATCCTTCTAATTCCTTAGCAGCAGAAATCGCACAGAACAAGAAAACAGGGTAAACATAACCAGACTACAACCTTAATGTAATCCTCCACGCCCTTTATGCGCTTGTCGACGGGCTCAATCAGCTCCGCATACTGCACCAATAGAATCAAGAAACCGACCGTGAATCATCACAAGGTCCAACCGTGAATCATCACAAGGTCCAGTAATCTACGGCATAATGTTCAGAGGAAAAAAGCTCAATCTTTGGGCAAAGCCGAGATGCCTGCCTCCTTCTTGGCGAGCATAGGTCCCGTGCAGACGCCCACCACGATCCTGTCCCTCGCCAAATCCGCGGAGGCCTGCCGCCCACCAATTCCCCGATACCCCGAAGAAAGCAAGATTCAATCCCAACTGTCAGGGGCTCAGGAGGAACAAAAATGATGTGACTTTTTTTTTAATCTTTGGCAGCACCTTGAGAAGGCGGCGGTGGCCGTCGTGGAGGCGGTCGAAGGTGCCGCCGAGGACCACCGAACCGTACGCCGGAGTTCCCGCCTGCTGCTCCTCGTGAGCTCGCGGCGGCGCTCCGGCCGGTGTGTCGTTGCCGGCATCGACCATTTTTTCGCCGTTGTTTCTCTCTGTAATTTTTTTTTGATGAAAGGGTCTCTCTCTGTAATTTAATGGGGGCGAAGTAGAGCATGCGGGTACGGCTTCTTTTTCTCCTCGGAGACGGGAAGATTTAATTTTTTACTATTATAATAAATTACACCTTTTCATTTTAATGGATGCCAATATATTTTAGCCAGCACAGAGAGAAAAGTCGCGTGGCACGCCAGCCTCTCACGCCAACATGGATATGAGTCAGCAACGCCCATGAAATGTCACTCCTACCCCTCCCTTCATCCCTCGACGAATACTCCGTCCTGCCGCCGCTGAGGGAGAGGGAGAGCATGTCCACGCTGTTAGTCACAGCGACCTCCGTGGCCTTAAGGATGTCGGAGCTGAAGCACCCGCTGACCCACCACACCTTTGTACGAGCAGCGTACCCAAGCAGGTCCATGCCCTGGATGGCGCCGCCGGCCGTGGTGCTCGATGTGTGCATCTCGAACAGGAACCAGCGGCTCCGTGGTTGCCGTCGGTGGCCTCGGATAGCAGCTGCCGTGACGAGGCCGTCGAGGTCTGCAGCGAGCTGGATGCTAACGATGAAGCCGTGGACGACGAAGCTGACGAACGACGAGGAGCTCCCGCACCGCGCGCACGCAGACGCTGGTTGCTGGATTCCGTAACGGAGGCGATCGGCGCGGCGATGCTGGAGCGGCTGCACGCGTGCCCGCTGGGCCGGAACCGCGTGTTGGTCGGGGAAGCCGACGCCACGCACGAGGCCATCGAGCTAGAGCTCGACGAGCCACCGTCCTCGCCCTCGCCCTCGCCCGTGGTCGGCATCAGGGGGGTGACAGAGCTGGCCATGGAGCTGTGCGCGGACGGGCATCGCCGTGGTGGCGCGGTGGCTGTTGCGCGTGCCCGCGGCCGCCGACGCGTGCGCCGTGCGTGGGCTGGCGGCCGTGGACGGCCGGGCCACGTCCGCCCACAGCAGGTTGATTTACGGCGCCGACGGGACCTCCGACGTCCCTGTAGTGCGCACGCTCGCGTGCTGCGTGGCCTCGCACCCTGGGCCCGTTCGCGGCGTGTGCGTCACTCGCGGCTCCTTCTACGCGCACGAGTACGCGCTCTGGCGCTTGGTCGCAGTCTCGCAGACCTCGCCGACCTCCGGAGGCTAGCGTTGCCGACGGAGGCAAGGCCGAACGTGGCGCGCATGGCGTCGGGCACCCACCCGGAGAGCTGGTTGTTGCAGGCGTCGTGCCAGGTGCGGGCGTCGTCGCCGTCGTCGGGCCAGGGCGCGGGCACCGCAGCCTGCCCAGAGCGCCGCCGCCGCCGGGCACGAGCTGCCGTGTTCTGGGCTACGAGCGCGGGCACCGCCAGGGCGCAAGCTGCCGAGGCACGGTGCGAGCGCACGCACCGTCGCCGGGCCAGGACGCGGGCAACAGCGCGCCACCGCCTGGCCGGAGCACCGCCGCCGCCGGGCATGAGGTGCCGCGCTGTAGGTGCCTGGGGCTACCAGCGTGGCCAATGCTAGGCGCGCGAGTTGCCGCGGCCGCCAGGAGCACGGGGAGAAAATGCCAGTTGCGTGGGTGGAGAGGAAAAGGACAGGAGGGACATTTCACATGTCCTGCTGACTCGAATCCACGCTGGCATGAGGAGCTGGTGTGCCACGTAAGCAAAAGTGGTAAATTTATAGCTGTTTTCTCTCTATGCTGGCGAAAATGTATTGACATCCGTTAAAGTACTATTTGATGCGGTGCCATTTGTTATAATGGTAAAAAGTTAAATCTCCCTCGGAGATGTGTTAGGTAGTGTTTGGTTTTAGGGATAGGATGGTCCCAGGGTGACGAGCATGCGCGCACGCGATTTTGGACCAGAAGAAGAGGAGTCCGGGTGACTGTGGTGTGCGGTGCCGCGGGCGAGCGGCGGTGACGTGAGGGGCCGCGGGCTGCGGCGGCGGCGCGCGAGGTCGCAAGCGTGCAAGGCTCTGTCCCAGCCCCTCGCGCATGGGATGCGTGCGGACGAGAGACGACGGGGAAGAAAGGAAGAAGAAAAAAAATTAAAAATGCTGACGGGTGGGCCACTTTTCTATTTATTCGAAGTTTCAAACCAAACAAACGATAGAGATGATCCCAATCTTTGAAGTTTTTAGTTGTTTTCTACTACCACCTAAAAAATACCGAAGGAGATCGTCTGCGCCCCTGCCCCCGCCCCGGCAAAAAAAACCGTTTCGCCATGGGAAAAACACCCGGCAAAAAAAAGCGCCCCCCGCAAAAACAAACGTCCACCCCGCATGGCAAAAAAAATTGTTTCCCCACAGCAAAAAAATGTTTACCCTGGCAAAAAAAAGTTTCCGAAATAAAAAAACTCCCCCCCTAACCCCCAAAAAACAAACGTCTGCCCTGCCCCCAGCAAAAAAAAAGGCTTCCCCCGACAAAAAAGAAAGTTTCCGAAATAAAAACATATACGGCACCAAAAAAAGCCACTGTAACAGAAAAAAAACAACGTCGCCGTTCCGTAATAAAAACCCACCGTCCCGTTTCTGAAAAAAAATCCTATACAGCAAAAAAATAATGTTTCAAAAAAACATATACGAAAAAACGTTTACATATGCATATCTATTACCACCTAAAAAGGGGAGAGGGTTTTCGTGCACAGAATTTCCGTGTGCGCGCCCGCGTCGCCCAGGCTGCAGTGTATGCCCACATGCATACGGGATGCAAAATTTCTGATTGGTCACTGAAGATTTTTTTATATATAATAAAGTTCATATTACAATCTTTCTTTACGTTAAATTTATTACGCAACTGTTCTTATGTATTGCAGTTGGTCTTTGTGTTGCCTAATTGTTGATTAAATTTATCAGGCAATTGTTCTTGTGTATGG